AAAAAAAAAAAAAAAAATCTGTACTCGAAAACTTGAGCACGCGGAGCCCTTCTTTGCAATATTGGAATGCGTTTGATCGAACATATCCGAGGGGCGCTCATCGGGGCTCGGTGGGAGTGGTAAGTGTTTGACATGAATTATTATTTTTGTATCTGAAGCATAAGAAACCATGTCCGTGAAGAAACAGCTAAGTAGAAACACAAATGAGTTACCTTTTTTTAGGTGAGTTTCAATGATGATTCGCAGTGATGCGATTTTTCAAGTCCTCCATGTTCGGTCAAACGCATTTCAATATCGCAAAAAAGGGCTCCGCGTGCTCAAGTTTTCGAGTACAGATTTTTTTTTTTTTTTTTTTTTTTTTTTTTTCCTTTCTTTTTCTTCTTTTTAATTGGAAGTGCAATGTTTAAGAATTTTTTTGGCGGAGAGTTTGGTTTGATACGGCAATTCCATTGAGCATAGGGAATTTTTGAAAAGATCATAAAAAAAATGTTTCAACCTCTGCCAATCGCTGAAAAATTGTCCGATTTATATCCGGTTTGGACAGGGTGGCTTGTTTTTTGCGTAGAATTGATTTTTGAAATAAATAAGTAGGGGTGCCATTTGAAAATTTCGATTTACGGGGGGGGGGCACCCCCCCCCCCCCCGCGGTTTGAGAAAATGTCAAATACGCCAAAAGGTGTCCCCCTCGATATAAACGAACACGTCTTTTACCGTTTTTCGAAATTCCAACCCGTTTGCCAGATATTCAAGGTGGCTCGTTTTTCGTGAGACACCCTGTATGAGCGTTTTACGTTTTTCATATAAAACTACCATTTAGATAACAGATATGTTTTTTTTATACTTTATTTTAGAAAAACTAAAATTTGTTTTGCTACAAGGGGGAAGCTAAAAAAAACGTTAATCTCTTACACAGATTATGAAGCTAAGAGTGCATTACGCGCAACGCGCGCTCTTCGGCGTTTCCCGCCAACACCATGTATCAGCTGATCAGCTGTTCTGCGTTTTTATTTATTTTCAGGAATTCGCTGATTCTGAAAAGTTGCTAAATGCTTACTACTCGAGGCCCCTCCAGTATAATTTTTTCAAAGGTACCTATTACCAGCGGCGCGCGGCGCTCATGTCCATTAATTCACTCTCTGCATGGGACAATGCAATCATGAACTGACAGTTCATCACAACGGTCAGTTGTATTAGAGTCAATCGAGTCAAAAAATGCTTTCATCTATCGTATTAGATAAACTAAAGCTTCCAAGTAAACAAGCTTTAAGTATGAATATAAACTCTATTTTTGATCTTAATGATCAAGGGCATGGTTCAAAATACTCATTGTAGAAATGCGTAGCTCGTGATCAGTGTCATTTTCCAATAATACAATGCTTGATCCGCCCGTTTAAGATCAAACAAAAGCTTCTGAAAAGGAATTGTAAGCGTGAAATTCTTTTTTTTCAGTCTTTAAATGATCAAGATCCGCCAACAGGTTTAAAACACTATTTGCAAAAAGTGCGGATCTCGTGATAAAGTGCTGACAATTCTTAGTGCTGAAAACGCGAATCACGTGGAGCTGTACGGACTCTAATAGCGTGGACCGAAAAATCAAAACACAGCGGTGGCGCTTCGTGCGCGAAACAATTTCTTACTGCACACCACTATAGATTAACCTTAGTTGTATTTTGTTCGGAGGCAACACTCGCAACATGTTGTGAAAACAAGCAACAATCGCATTTTGTTCGAAGTTGTTTTGTGTTGTGGGGGGCGGGGCTTATTTTTACGCGCAAAATTTGGGAACCCCTACAGAAACATTGGTAAGAGGCAATAGTCTAGGTGCGGAGGGAAAAATAGCGGAAATAATTGGTTTACACGATTTTATTGTTTTAAGTTGTTCATTTGGGTATACTGAACGCTCACAAAAAAGTCCCCACGAATCCGAGGT